AACCCTAACCCTAACCCTAACCCTAACCCTAACCCTAACCCTAACCCTAACCCTAACCCTAACCCTAACCCTAACCCTAACCCTAACCCTAACCTCACCGCCACGTTTGCCCCAGCAACCAAGTCCCTCAAAGCGGGTTCCTCCTCTGCCCTAGATCAATTGCGAGAGAAGATCGGGCTCGACAGCAAGATCTTTGCGCGCTTCGATGAGAAAGCTGTCCGAAATGCCATCGACGAGGTGCTGTCCAACGATTTGTACACTGCCGGAAAACGGTCCAATTTGCAGGATCTCAAAGCACACAAGAGCGTTCTACGCGAGATCGCCGACATCCTCAACCATGACCTCGACAACATTGAGTCGTGGCAATGGGCTGATGGCGGTGTGAGGATGACGATGCGTCGTCATATCAACGGGAAATACCGTGTCTACATGGACGAAGAAGTCTACCAGGCTGTCTTCCTTGCCCACATTGGGAGCATGTGGTCCGACAGCTTTCATGCCGCTTTTGTGCAATTTTTTGACCACGCATGGAAACATGGCGCAAGCCGGAAGCCCACACCGGACGAAGAGCGCATTCGCACCAAGAAATTCTACCAGATCAACGAGAGCGTCGAGGCAGAGCAGACGGCCAGCATCAGCTACTTGCGCAAAAAGCTATTCAAACAAAGATTCTGGCTTTCGGCCATCTCGCCAACGACACGCAAGTCGTTTGCCAAGGCGTACGAGAACGGCTGCGACGGTGACAACGATGGCAGCTACGGCACATCGTTTGTCGACATCAAGCAGCAGCTTTTGCGCATGATCACCGCCGATCAGCTGATACAAGGTGACCTCTACGGTCACTTCACAGTGCTGCAATCCGACTTCCGTTGGTTTGGCCCATCTTTGTCCCACACAACCATCCTCACGGTTCTCAAATTTTTTGGCCTTCCGCAAAAATGGTTGGATCTCTTCGCCAAATTCCTCTCGCCTATGGTCTCCTTCGCTTCTGATGGTGCTGACGTGCAGAGTCGCAGACGGTCCTGTGGCACGCCTATCGCACACCAGATCAGTGCGCTCTTTGGCGAGGTGGTCTTAGTGACATTGGACTTTGCCGTCAATCAAGCCACGCACGGTGGCTACCTCTACCGGATTCACGATGACCTTTGGTTTTGGGGCCAGCAAGATCAGTGCGCCGTCGCTTGGAAAACCCTGCAGGACTTCTGCGCAGCTACTGGCCTGGAGCTCAACATGGATAAAACGGGAGCATGCTCATTGAAAGGCTCGGCCAGCCCTCTGTCAGAAGAAGACGTACCAGTGCTTCCGGCACAAGCCAAGGACGATGATGGCCAGCAAGCCGAATGTGGTCTCCCATGGAATCCGATCCGTTGGGGATTTCTTATTCTGTCCGCTGAAAAAGGTCACTGGGACATCGACCTAGCTCAGCTGGAATTGCATATCCAGGAGATGCGCTTACAGCTTGATGCAACGGCGAGCATCATGTCTTGGGTGCGAGTATGGAACAGCTACATGAACAGCTTCTTCGTCAACAATTTCGGCAAACCAGCAAAATGCCTAGGTACAGACCACATTCGCATCTGCATGCTATCATTCGAGATGGCACAGCAGCGTCTCTTGCAAGTAGATGGTGGCCGCCATCACAATTTGACCGACATGGTGAGAACCATGATTGAAGAGCGCTTCGGCCATCGGCAGGGCGTGCCAGCCAGCCTGGTCTATTTCCCCGCGGAGTTAGGTGGTTTGGCCCTCCATAACCCATTGGTAGAGCTCAGCACCAAGATGCTTGTCAAGACCCAAGATACTCCCCGCGAGATCGTTCAGAAGGCGTGGTATGGAGCACGCCAACGATTCGATCGGCTGGTCGAGAGGTGGGACCAGGCCATGCTGAGGCGAAAATCGCGTGGTTTCGAGGCCGACGAAGACAAGACATTCATGACCTTCCAAAGCTTCGTTCGGTATGCCGAAGAGACGGAGCCTGCGCTTTGCTCGGCCTACAGCACTCTACTCGAGGATTTGAAGGGAGCCGAGGAAGACATTGGCGTTGAACTCATCTTCGATGATCAGCGCGTCGACGGCTGGCTAGCGTACCAGCGAGCGGCCACAAAGTCACGAACCCCGTTCTACTGGAAGCGGATCGTACAGCTCTACGGCGCAGAGGCCTTGGAGTACTACGGCACATTGAACATGGCTCAGGCTGGCTCATTGCCCATGGGTGTCACTGGCTACTTGTCATCCGAGAAGATACGTTGGCAAAATTGAGAAGCGCAAGCGCAAACTTGTACCTTGGAAAGTATTTTACCATTCATGACTATGCGTACCCTCTTTCAAAGATCGACAAGGGGTTCATGGAGAGCGAGCATTGTTCGACAATCGCTCCGCCCGTGAGAGTGACGAACGAGAGGTTTGGGAGTGAAGCACGGACTAGAAGGATCAAGTTAGAATGACTGACAGCCTGTGATCATTTCATTACATCAACGTTATCGGATCAGGCGAGGCCTTGCGAGGGCATTCACACGGCGGCGTTGATGGAATGCAAGTGCGTGCGTTTGGGCGATTCTCGGAAGCCTCCGAACGGGAACCCCACCGGACGTGCAGAGATCTAGAGATTGACGCGGGGAACTCGTCCGGACCTAACGGGCTCGGGGTGTCAGCTCCGACCCCACTCGGGCTTCTGATTGAGTGGGTTGAGTCAAGAAACAGAGCGCATATTGGGTGCGCTAGGCCATCTGGGCGGCTATGCTGGCGAGGTGCGCATCCGCGAGCGTGCATGCCTGCGCCGCTCGCTCGGGTTGATTCCTCGCAGGCTGACGCGTCTGAATCTTGGAGCCGCGGCCATGGTGGAGACTAGGCATTGGGCGCTCCCGCATCCGGTGCCGAGCCTGTCGGTCTCCTTGACTCAACCCGCTTGACTCAACGGCCGGGGTTTCGACCGGGTGGGCCGAGTCAACGTTGAGTCAACGTTGCGGCAGCGGATCACGTTGCTCGGCAAATTCCGAAGTTGCGTGGAATTCCGCCCCAAAATCGAGTCTTATCGGCTCGGAATATGCGAGAGGGGCGTGAAATGAGGGGAATCTGCGCATAGCCGGGGGCTGACTCAACAGGGTGCAGCTGCAGACCCGAATCGTCGGATGCTGTCCGCGAGGCTTGGAGGGCCGTGCACATTCTAATGTTCGCAGCCTGCCATTGTTCTCACCGCCTTCCATTGTTGGTACAGCAGTTGCCGAATGCGAGTCGAGAGTTGTGCGTCGGGTCGGTCTGCAGAGCTCGCTCACCGCATCGAAGCGGCGCACGGATTTTGCGATGCTTCGACGGCTTGACTAGTACTTCTTGCTGCGTTCCGAAAGGCATATATAGCGCCGATCGGATCAGCCGAAGTTGCCGCTACCAATTCCCACCCATCCCCGTGCCTTTGTAGAGACAGAGATTCCACCATGTCGCAGACCAACGACCGCCAGCCCGTGGCCGACCAGGCCGAGTTCAACGCCTTCTTCCCCTCGCCCTTTTCGCTGACGCAGTACGTGCCCTCCAAGACCGACTTTGACGGCGCCAAGTACGATGCCTACACGGGCAAAAAGTGGAAGATCCTGCTGATCGGATCGCAGGAGCGATACCTCAAGATGGCCGACGGCAAGTTCTTCTCGACGGGCAACCACCCCGTAGAGATGCTGCTGCCGCTGCTCCACCTCGATCTGGCTGGCTTTGACGTGGACATTGCCACGCCCTCGGGCGACCCTGTCAAGTTTGAAGTGTGGGCCTTCCCCAGCGAAGACGATGCCGTCAAGGGGATCTACGAAAAGTATGCCGAGAAGCTGCGCTCGCCGCTCTCGCTCGAAAAGGTGTGGGGCAGCGGCTTTGACAAGGCCACGCCCTACCTCGGTGTCTTTATCCCTGGTGGCCACGGCGTGCTGAACGACATCCCCTTCTCCAAGACGGTGGGTGATGTGCTGCGATGGGCCGATGCCAACCAGCGCTTCCTCATCACGCTCTGCCACGGCCCCGCGTGCCTGCTCGCCGCCGACGTGGAAAAGCCGCAGGGTGCCAAGTACATCTACGACGGCTATAAAATCGTCTGCTTCCCCGACTCGCTCGACAAGGGCGCCAACATCGACATTGGCTACATCCCGGGCAAGATGCCCTGGCTCGTGGGCGAGCACGTGCGCAAGCTCGGCGTGGAGATCATCAACGACGCCATCACCGGCCAGGTGCACCGCGACCGCTACCTCCTCACCGGCGACTCGCCTCTGGCGTCCAACAACCTCGGCAAGCTCGCCGCCGAGGCTCTGCTCGACGAGGTTGCCAAGCGCCCCTCTCCTTGATCGTTACGTTTGGCTCGTAAAGTGAAATGCATGCGATTGTCCTTGAATCACGTCCGCCAGGGTCTGCGAGATCCGACCGAGTTGAAATTGAGCTTGAATACGCGGGTCACCTGGTGCGCAGACTGGGTTCGCCGCGCGAGCTCCTCCAAAAGTTGCTCGTCCGGATCAGCTCGGCGTCGAACAAGAGGCGGTATTTGGCGACAAAGTGCGGGCGCAGCTCAAAGGCGGTGGTGTTGAAGCAGTCGTCGCTGGCGTTCCACACGCGCAGGGAGCCGACAAAGTCGACCATAAACTCGTCGAGCCACGCACGCGCTGCTGGGCACAGTGGATCCTTTCTTGGTGCAGCCGGTCGAGAACCGATCGACTCGGCACGCTCGATGGGCTTGCCGCTGTTGGGCTTGGTCGAGAAAGTATGGTCGTAGATCATGTCTTCATCCGGCCATATCATTCCTGCTGCGTCTTCGACCTCGAAGCTCTGTGTGCCGTTCATGGCGAGTACGGTGAGCAGCAATCGATCGCGCAGACTCGCAAACGGGATGATGGCGATCTCGATCGGATGCGAACCCACGGTGCTCTGCAACCGCGTCGGCATGAGCAGTTCCGGCAATGTGCCTGTGTCGTCGAGGCTGTGACTTGCGTCCGAGGGATGGCGATTCCATCGCGCAGATACGCTTTCGGGCTCTTGCATGAGCTCGGCCGTGGCGAGATTGACCATGCCGCTTCCGAACGACGTGCTGAACGGCAATAGCAGCCGAAAGTAGAATCGACACACCTTGTACAGAACAAGCTCGGGCATGACGATCGCCGACGGAAGACCTAGCTGTGTGCTCGCGGCTCGCGCAAAGTTGCTGCTGTCCGTGTTGAACGACACCTGCCACGATATGGCCGAGTCGGGATCGGTCAGGGCCGAACGCAGGCTGCCGTCGGATCGCCTGTGAAAGCTCGAGTTGTCGAAATGCCTCCCAAGCAGCGGGAAGAACCGGTCGTCCAGGGTGCCATCTGCCAGCATGGCGAGCAGACGAGACATGCTCACCGAGCCTCGCACTTCTTTGTTCGTCGCGTGAGAGGCTGGCATTCGCCGTTGCGATGCGGTTAGTTGATTTGACTCGGATGCAGCATTGCGCTGTCGTTCGAGCTCGAGCAGCTGTCGGAGCTGGCGCACCTGGTCTTCGAGCTCCTTGACATGCTCGCTGCGCCGTTGACGACTTCTCTGCTGCGCCAACCGATTCTTGCGCCGGATCCTTTCGAGTGATTTCGACGGACCCGATGTCTCGGAGGTGGATCCGTCTGCTACCGTCGAGGGCCCAGCACTCGAGGGACCCGCTGTAGGTCCAAGTTCCGCACCGTCCAACGCCTCCTGCAGCCATGCGGGAAGCGCAGTTGCAGCCTCTGTAGACTGCGTCGTGGGCGCCAGAGTGGTGGCTACCGATGCGAGCCACGAGTCGAGGTCCTGGATGTCCACAGTTGGGTCCGGGGCAGCGTTCATGTTGATGTTCTTGAAGCGACACGGCTGTGCCCGAGCTGCCATTTGGGGCTGACCGTATGGTATCAGCAAATTGCAGTCCGATACTCAGCCATGGTCTCGCTTGAAAGGTACGGTCTCAAAGTCAAGACTGGCAGATGGCGATATTGTCAAACCTGTATGCTTTGCTACGGAAAACCTATTCATACACAAGCACAGCACATCACAGAAGCGCAAGGTCGCCGCCGCATCGGTGGTTGCTGTGGTCGACCTTCTTGGCGACGTCCCTGCGGTTGGCTGCCACCTTGGCGCGGGGGCCGAGGCTGTCGAACGACGTCGAGTAGAGCGCGACGGCGTGCGAGATGGCCTTGGTGTTGACCTCAAACGCCTCCATGGCGAGGTTGTCGATGGTGTCGCCAGCCGCGTGGTAGTTGGGGTCGTACGCGATGCCCGCCTCGCCGCCAAACAGCTTGGCCTCCTCCTCGGTCTTGAGACCCTCGGCACCAGTGTCGAGACCGCCAGCAGCAATCCCGGCGTCCAGGAACGGCCCGTAGTCGCTACGGCCATCGAAGGGTCCCTCGATCAGCGGCTTCTTGGCGACGTTCTTAAAGTAGTCAAAGAACATCGCCTCGGCCTGCGCCGATCCGGCGGGGCCGGTGGTGTTGAAGGTGCTGCCATCGCCGTCGTGCACGCTCAGCACATAGTTGGGCGAGGCGATCATGTCAAAGTTGAGGTAGATGCGGATCTGGTCCTTCTGCTGCTGCGAGAGCTCGCCGACGTAGTGCTCGGCACCCAGCAGGCCGTACTCCTCGGCCGACCACCAGGCAAAGCGGACCGCGTTGTTCACGCTGTACTTGGCCAGGTTCTTGGCGACGGTGAGCAGCGCAACCGAACCGGATCCGTTGTCGTTGATGCCGGGACCGGCGGTGACGCTGTCCGAGTGCGCACCCAGCATGAGAACCTGATCCTTGGAGCCGCCGCGCGATTCGGCGATGACGTTGTGCGTGGTGCGGTCCTCGATGACGCCCTCGAGCTTCATGTCGGCCGTCACCTTTTCGCCCGCAGCCAGACGAGCCGCAAGAGCGTCACCGGTCTCCTGGTCGACGCCGGCGACGGGCACAAAGGGGCCCTCGGGCGTAGGTCCTGCACTGCCGAGCGTGCCCGACACATCGCCCGGTGCATTGTTGTAGATGAGCACAGCAGCCGCCTTGGCCGTGCCCGCACGAGCGACCTTGATGCCGAACGCGCAAGTGCCTCGCTTGATCAGTGCGATCTTGCCCTCGACGCCTGCGGGGAAGTCGGCCTGGTCGCAACCGAGGTTGTTGACGGGTACGAGTTCGAGATCGTTGAACTCGCCATTGGGCGAGTAGGTGAACGTGTTGGACTCGATCGCCTTGTTGTCGATCGCCACCTCGGCCGAGTGCTCGGCATACGTCGCGGTGAAGGGCTGCAGGTACACGTCGTAGTAGTCGCCCGCCTTGCGCAGCTCGCTCTGGATGTACTCCACCGTCGCCTTGTGGCCGGGCGAGCCAAACACGCGGTTGCGCTCCGTGGTGGCGTAGGCGATCTCCTGCAGCCTCTTGGCGCCGTCGAGAAGATCCTTGCGCTTGACATCGTTGCGGAGGCGTTTCTGTTGTTGCAAAAGGAGGACGGTGGTGAGCGAGCGATTCAACATCGCGACGGCCTGCTAAAGGAAACTCACGGCTTCGACAGGGCGCTTCTTGCCTGGTGCGGCGAGTGCTTCTTGGCTGCCAAGCAGCACGAGTGCGAGCGTGGTGAGCTGGAGCAGGCTGAACTTGAGCATGATGCCAGTGTATCGACGTGGGG